TAACATTGATTACATTAAATGAATGTCATTGCAACATTGGTGCCCACTTTCCTCCTGACCTGGTGGCTCACTGCTGCCTTGGTGCAGCTCTTCCAGCTCTGCTGCTCAGGGCACTTGTTATTTCTCACAGTCCTAACCCACTCATGTGGGTGATAGGAGAACTGAGGACCAAGGCTGATTGCTGTGGATTTTGGTAAGATCTGAGTCCTGTGTGGTGTAATGGCTTTGGAAAAACAGGCTCTGGCTGTGACTGCACTGCTGAGCAGCCTGCAAGGCTGAAGCCCCCCAGGATGGGCCCGACGCAGGCTCATACAGCGCCCAGGTACTACCTGTTGGAAGAGCCTCAGCACTGCAAGGGAGCTGGCAAGAAATGACATTTTTCTGAGGGAACTTTGCCCAGCATCCATTGACTAGTAGACAAACACGATGCATTCATGCAAGGGCTGTCACTGTGCTGTACTGACTCGGTGTTTCTGCCTGGAAAACCCTTGCACTCTGACTGGTTTGTCCTTCCTTTCTACTTAGTGGCCCAGTAGCTTTGCATGAACCTCCAAGCATGAACCTCAAAGGGAACTCAAAAGAAGAAGGGTGTGCAAAAGATGACACACAAAATGCTGCATGGAGGTGGATGTTTCTGGTGGACAGGATTTCTAAGCAAGCCATCCCATGGTCGCTGCCCATGGGGTAAGCTCCCAGTTGCCCAACGGGGACACGATGAAAAAAGCCATTGTTCTCCCATCTACCGTGGAGTTCCTGTGGAGACATCACTGCCAGGCTAACAAACATTGAAGACTTTTTCTCTTGTAACTGGGACTGTGAGACCTGACAGCTGTTCTGCCATAATACTTACATCTATTCAGAGATGGAAATGGGAAAAGCTGCTCTGAGGCTCTCCATGAGAGCACAATTCTAAAGGCTGCTAAATGTTGTGATTTCTGGCACCGAGCTACTCTTCCAGGCCCCTGCTCAGTAAAGTATTTCTCACTGAATTAAGGGGAACTTAAGTATGTGCTTATGCATTTGGATGAACAGAGAAAGCCTGTTGAATCAAAGGAACTACTGAGAGCAGAGTAGAAACCCTTCAAAATCATGTGTTTTTTTTTTTTTTCTTTCCTAAAAGTATCTGCTATTTATTCCCAAGTCCTTCCTTATCTTGTTTACAACAAAGAATGAACAAAATTCCTTTCCCAAGGCTGGATAGTCCTGGAGCATATCCACACCAAACAGGGAGAAAAATAAGCTTGATATTAGGCAGATTAAATAAGCAAATGCTTCTTAGTCTCTTGACTTCTTTCTCTCCCTTTTGTCTTTTTTATCCCTCTGTACACAGTAAACCTACAGTTTTGTGGCCTTACCCAAAGTCTGCTGGATTTTATGCAATGCTTTCTGTTGGCTTAAATGGGTTTTGGAACAGACCTGGAGGCAGAGTATGGCAATATCTTTATACAAGTTTCTCATCCACTGTCTAGGGGAAGGAATATTAATTATTAAAACACTGGTCCAGCACACAGCCCCCAAGAATTGTCAAATATTCACTCTGTTATACTTGATTTAAAATTACTGTTTTCTTTGTGAACTTCCTTTAGGAACATAAAATCTGAAGAGCCTGAACAGGTTTCCAACTTCTAGCTCATTTTATATACAACCTTCAAACTGTAATTGCTTGTGAAGCACATCACACAGAAAGCTAAGCTTACAACAGCAGTTTCCAAACGTTATGACAAACCACCCTGGAATGGAATGTGCCCTGAATCAGAAGCACCCTGTGGCTGCAGTAGGGGTGGTTGCTGCTGGTGGTTGTGTTGCTGGGGAAGGCACAGCCCGACGGGCAGGGGCTGTTGGTGAGGGCTGCGCGTCCCACAAGCCAGATGCAGCACCCAGCAGAGTCAGGGCAGTGCCCTGGTCTCCTCCCCAGCAAATCCAACTGAGTACCCAGCTTTGGTGAGACAGAGGAACCCCAAGTGCCCTTATGCCCTTCCATTTCAGCTAATGAAGTTCACATAAATGAGCTGTAACGTTTTTGCCAGCAAGGCCCTGACCCAGCGGTCAGTGCCACCCCAGCAGAGGGCTGCTGCAGAGGCGATCTCACTGTGGGACAAGCTCCTGGTCTCTGTGCCACCCGAGTCCCACCATCACACTGTTTGGCAGTATTTTTCCAGACTCTTAAGCACTGCCTACGGGAAGACTTGGGCTCTAGCAGGTCACACTGGTGTTCCATGAAACTGAGTCAGGCAGAGACCTCCTGAGCTCAGGTCCCCCTCCCCATCCTGAAAGCAGAGGGGTACAGGCGGTTCCGATTCATGTCTATATTGTAGCACTCAATACACACTTGGAGATCTTAAAGCAGATTGTGACTTGTCATCTAGAACTAAAAGGTACCGATACACAGACACACGATGTGCTTTTGCAAAATGACAGAAAAACTGTTCTTTTCATGTTCCCTCGATGCAAACATGACTGCATTTTGCTTCAAATAGCTACCTCTCTAAGAGACATATTACCATCAGGTAAATGAATTTGCTACCCATAATTAGTCACTGTAAGGAAAAGAAGCAGACCAACCTGCATATGGTTGGTTTTGGGTTTTTTTTTAGTTTTTTTTTTTTTTTTTTTGAATTTGCATGCTTAATACAGAACTAGAAGGTTTAAAATCTCACTGAACATTCTATGTGAATTAACCAGATTCTAGAGCAATGTGGAAAAGGAAAATAATGAAAAGTACAGCTTTTCATTTCGACATATGCAGCTCTTTTCATGCAGGGTGTTCTTCTAGGTTCTTCCTTTTTCAAAATTACGCTTTGCATTAAAGAACATAGCCAGTGTAAACACAGTCTGTAACACTGAGAGAACAGTGCAAATTTTGTAAAGGTCTGGGAGGAGGTTGAAATACACAGATTTATAATGAAGGTAAAATCACTTTCTTTCTCAGTAGAAAAATACGTATATTAAACACCTATATGTTCAGAACTTAACTTCACAAAAGAGCAAGTTATAGTCCTATACTGTGTAATAAATGAATATCTTTTCTAGATTTCCATTTCCAGTGTTAGTGTCAAATGCATAATAATGTTAGAAAAAAACCAAGAGAATCGTTTAGGACTTACTTAATGAAAATCTTACAGATAACAAGTGGTGTAAGAGGGCAAAGAAAAAAGAGCTGGGGAAAGAAGCAATGGAAAAATACTGACCTCTCTGAATTATTGCACATTTGAGATCATTCTCATGGCCTTTGGGCCAATTCTGGATACTTTTAAGTCTTAGGTCAGTGTTTGTTTCCATTTGACTGTAGGGTACAATTTAGGAACCACTGCAAAATGTCAAGGATTTACCAAACTTGTTTGCTGATGAAACCACAGGCAGCTGAGTGCAGAGTGCTAACTTTATTCATGCAAAGAGAACAATGCTAAAAACCTACTGAAACACAGACAAGGCTGCCTGCCAGAAAAATATTTTTGGGAACTTGCTCCTGCAGATCTTACTGAGACAAAATTCTCCTGTCTTACCTTTTTTTTTTTTTTTTTTTTTTAATTAAAGCTGTGCCAAAAACCTGCAAAACTGTCTTTTGCCTTCATTGTTTAGAGCTTTTTCCTGGAGTACTGTTATCTCCATGGTCTGACTCTGCAACCCTTCATCAGCTGAGTATGGAGATCTCCATGGAACAGGCTGGTCCAGAGAGGCCTCAGCCCGCTGAGTCGCAGTGCCTGGTCTGAGCACCTGTGCAACACTCCTCATCCATGAGCAGCAAGAATCCCTCCCGTGACAGAGAGATGACAGGATCCTGTTTGACTGATGGGATCACTCACCTACAGTGAGAAATGCAAGACCTTACAAACTGCTTAAAAATGTCACTTCTCACTGGTTGTGCAGAGAGCAGAAATATTCCTGCTTCAGCCATATTTAAAATGTACACAAACTGACAGGTAGATAAAGAGAGGGAACTGTCTCAGGTGATTATCACTGCAACTGAAGTCAGGCTACTAGTAAACCTGAATAATTTAGCACTTCATCTCTGAATATTGCTGTAGTAATCATTTTCTATTGCTAATGTTATCACAAAAAGGTTGATTTCAAATTGTAACTACTGATTTTGGACAAAAAAATTGTATGTAAAATTACATTGCCTTTACTAAAAAATCTTAAAAGAGCTCAAAGATCTTAAGAAATTTCAAATTAATAAACTGGCCAACAGATAAACAGATAAATTTGTACTTAAACTGTTTTTAGAAAGTCATTAAAATATGAAAAAAGTGAAATAATCTATAATCAAAAGAAAAATTGTTCAAAATCCTCTTAAACGTCTTCTGATATTCTAGTGGGTTAATAAAACCACATTGCTAACCATTGACTAGGAATACAACATGCCTCAATAATAAAATGAAGAGATGCTGATGTGAGCAGGTGATTTATTCTGCAGTAGCTGTTACTAAGCATTTTATTGATAAAGCTTCATCTGCATTGTTTCAGCTGGTCGTCTTCTAAAAACGTATTTGTGAGACAACGTTACTGGGAAGGTTTCCTCCTCCTTCCTTTTGAGAATGACTCACCCCTTGTGGCCTGTGCAGGAGATAATCACTTTTGTAGCATGATTAGAATGTCAAACTGTACTGAAAAACCCAACAACTTCCATGTATTTCAAATACTATTACTTAAATATGTATGGATGTTGGAGATCATATACAGTGATATCCATCCCAGATTGTAAACCTACTGTAAAATGATGGGATTTTTCTTTTTTTTTTTTTTTTTTTTTTCTATTCCCCCTCCTTTTTAAAGAAGCAATAAAACTGTACATTAAAAGACTGGCAGGACATTACTGAGTTACAAAAGAATGCCCCCTTTGTCAATAATTTGTAAATGTAAACAAAAAAGTTCAAGTAGAAAAGCAAACGAGTGTGCTGCTCTTTCAAATATGTTTTCTCACCCCATGGGGTTAGGGCAAAGTTCTTTAAAAAGCATCTTCATGGCGGTCATGAAGCATCTCCAAAGAGTCCTGATCTTCACTACCAAATATCACTGGTGAAGCTAAGCTCCTTTGCTGATAAAGGCAGCAGTGGGTTGTTCCTGTGAAACTCCTGGGGGTCCTTCATGGCATTGTTAAGAGGTAGCTGTCCATTTAGTAGCGTCAGAGGAATGTTACAGTATGTGTGATGGTTGCTTATGGAGGCCAGTGGCAACGTGGCTGCTGACACATCGTACTCGTAGCCTCTGCAGTAATGTCTCATTTGCACAGAGTCTGCTTGGTGGTAATCAGTTAAATCAGCCCGCGATTCTACCAGCGTGGCAGACGTGCCTGTCACAGCAAGAGAGGGTACAGTCTGGAGATCTCCAAAGAGGCCCTGCTCTGCAGAATCCAGGACCTGATGCCGAGACACCACCTCCTTTTTCTTCCCTGGCATTTCAAAGACTAGGCGCTTCCAAAACTTAGAATTCAGTTTGCTGCTTTTTGGTCCTTTCCACTTGACCACTGAGAGAAGTTTGATGGTGTGCTTTAAAGATTCCACTTCGTGATAATTCACCTTCCCTTTTAATTCAGTACACTCAATCAAAATAACTTTGATTTCTCCACTGACTAGCATGTTATGGAGTCTGTTTTCCATCTCAAAAATACTCCATCCTCTCCTGAGAACATAGTCTGGAGTTAACACGATAATGAGTCTTCTGCTTTGTTCAACACATCTTGTGAGATCTTCAATGTAGGCTACAAATTATAGAAAGAGAGAAAGAGTAAAGAATAAAGAAGTCTATTGTATCAAAACATCAGGCTTGCAATCAAGTACAACAAAATCCTACAGCTTACTGATCCACAACATTTAAGACAAGGAGCATTTCACAATATACTCCAACAAAAATAGGCTTGTGAACCATAACGTATTTCTATTTATGGAGTACCTATAGAAAACTCCTTAACAATGCTCTCCATCCTGCACTGGTTTTCCCTCTTCATCTCAACAGAATGACATTTACATAATATCCTCACTGTGTAGATGCATTAGTGACTAAAAATAGTTCACTTACTGCAAAATTATAGATGGATGTAATGTTTGTGTAAATTTTAACATGAGCAGCGGTCACGATTAACATCGCGCTGAGGGAAGCACTCTCTGGGAAGCAGTTCTTGTGTTTCAGATGCAAGGACATGAGGGTGCTGCAGGGTGTATGAACTGTAACTTGCAAGAGCTCAAAAGAAATCGACCCTCATCGCATGCAGAACTTATGCTACTGCATAGAAGCATCACGGTAGGTCTGTCTTCTCTAGGTTTTGGCCACAGAAGCACAGTAACGTTCTTTGTGGCCCAGTGGTAGGTTTTAATATCACAAACCTGTGCTTCTATGTACCCCAAAGTGTTAACAGAAACTTCACAAGTGACGGGAACAAATGGAAAATTTAAACAGATTGGAGGTGTTTATTTGTTGAGACATCAGTGACAAAGAAAATAATGTTCTTCTTTTATTCATGCATGCCAAGTAGTTGCAAATGATCAGTGTAAGCAGAAATGCCAGCCCCATCCATCATCAGCTTCATGGTGTCAGCTTATTGAACCACAACATAGTCTGGAAGTTGGACTTGGAGCCCTGAGTTTCACTTGTCCCAGGGACGGTAGGGAAGAGAAGCCAATTACATTGGGCTGACATGGAACAGGATGAGAAAGAGATCCACTTACAAACCTGATCCAAAACCCATTCCAATGAACAGACTTCAACAATTTTCAATGGGTTTTGGGTCAAGACCAGAAAAATGAAATAATCTGAAAAAAGAAACACTAAGGTCAGGAAAGTGTTTATTGCTTGTGTAGCATTATGATTGCCATGGATATAATTATTATTTTTTTTTAAAAAACTCCATGAACCTCTTGACCATGCTACTCAGAATGTGCTGCCTGACAACAGTGGAGAAGCATGTGTTATAAATGAAGACTTGGACACAAGAGCTGCACAGAACAGATCTTTACTCAGCACAGGGCAGGGCCTCTCTTACACACACTGCCCTCTAGCAGGAACAACAATTACAAATAACAGCATTAATCCACATCTGTTACTGCAAGATTCGTTTTTATAGTCCCAGGCACCATACCACAGCATGCTTATTCACACCACTTCCAGTAAAGTAAGTAGCTACAAAATAGGCCAACAGGAACAGTCTAAAATAGCTTATTTTCATGAAAGACTGGAGGCACAGTTAGCATCAAATCTGCCTTTACCAATGTTAATATTTCACCACTTAGCAGCAAGAAGAATTTCTTTCACAAATGGAAAAAAGAGGCAATTGCAAACATCCCACAGACACACAAAAATTTAAGACATACACATACATTACAAATGTCTATGCAACAATCCTGACTTTTAGTTAATGTTTTATGACTCTTTAATCATGCAGCATTTACAGTTTGTTTGTGGTTTTTTGTTTTCCTTAAAATATTTGATGAGGAAACCCCTCACATTGCTCTGGTAAAATAGTTACTCATTAATGAAAAAAATTAAACATTAAAATCCATGGGAGATGCAGTGGAGGGGGGAGAGAGTCAGCAACAATGAGAAAATGATAAGCAGAACTGGTGAAACAAACTTAAGGAAAGGTAGAAATGTTCAATACAATGGAAAGAGATTATCCCAATGTATCAACAGCTCAGACTCTTCATTTTCTTCCTTTCTTTCTGCTCCCAAAAAGAAAGAATTTAGGTGGGAAGCTTCATCATTAGAGGTTGAATCTGCAAGATACAGTAAAACAACAAACTATCATGCATCTTTCCTGAGACATGTTCATCCCTCCTTCAAACAGCACAGAACACTGCTGTGTGCAGGCAGCTCTCTGCAGGACACAGTACCCCTCAGCACCACTCATCCAGGGCAGTGCTAACCACAGCCATGCATGTCCTATAGGCATCCAAGAGAAACACCACCACCACCACGAACAAAAACTCACTCCACTTTCATCTCTGCAAATATCCAGAGGCAATAATTTCAATAGCAACGACCCAGCAATAATCCCTCCTACCATGGCCATGGAAAACTCACCGGGCCTCGCTTCAGTCAAAGAGGGAACGAGGTGGGAAGCAGGCAGGAAAACTCCCTGTTCTCTCAGATGGATACTTCTCCCCTCTGTGCCTCTCCCATACTTTGGCATGTAATGGATGTTACAACAAGTTAGAGCTCTGTCTACAGATGACTGAACAGACACCTTCACAAATGACCACTTGGTGCTCCTTCAAATGCCAAGTGTGCAGCCGGCTCACTGACAGACGTGGTCAATGTGCAGGGGGGTCTGTTGGTGCACTGTGTTACAGGACCTGGAAACCCCAATGAAAAGGCAAACACACTTCCCAGCCATCTGGTCCAGAAGCACTCAGTACTTCCAGTAACCTCAGCTGGGGACTACCACTAGAGGCAGGTGACAGCTTCCTGGAGCCTGTGGTTCCACTGGGTGCACTCTACAGTATGTACAAAGTGCACAACTTCCCCATGTCTGCAAGGAAAAGCATGGGGGGACAGATTCCTGGCTGTGGAATTTCAGGCTCTATTTTTTCCATGGGTGCCAGACTGACTGCATGAACCCCTGTGGTGCTAAATCACCCGCTCTCCTTTCACTTCACAGTTTGAGACTTCCCAAAATGCCACAGGTTCAGTTGTGTGTCTTAAGTGTTCAGTCCACTGGAAGGCATTAAATCCAAGCAAGCTATAGTGCAACATAGGATGGAGAAAAGAGTTGTTTTCACCTTTCCAGGGAGCTAAGTAGTAATTGTCAGGCAATGGCTGTTTCAAGAAAAAAACTGAGCAGGGATTTCAGAGATGACATCACCAACTAGGATCAACTGTAAGATTCCAGACCAACATACTTCCATTAGATAACTATCATGTTGCTGAAATTTCACTTGTGCTGTAGGAGCTGTCAACTTCAATGACATTTCATTGTGAGGGGAGAAAAAAAATCATCTTGAGAAAATCAGCATGGAATGATTCATTCTTAATTCCTAAAGAGTCTATTTTATCATAAACTAGAATGTAAAATTAAAATGTCAGCATTAGGATTAACCCACTTGATTTTATTGGAAGAGAACATTTTAAATTTTTACCCTTTTCCCCCCCTTTAAAACACCATTTTGCAATATGGCACAAAATAAAATGTTAGCATTTCCCATAGGAAAAAAACCCTGAATTACGAGTAGCTCCATCAGTAACCTACTTGCATTGCACCCAGAGCAATGCCCAAGGAGATGTGGACAGCAAGAACTTTCTGACCCATAAACAAGCAGATTTTGCATAGTTGCTCTTTAGTAATGAAGACAGATCATCTGACAGCAAAGGTGCTCACCAAACACTGTCCACATATAAAGATGCTGCACTGTAGTCTGAAGCACTGAAGAAGTCCCAGCCGTGCATCCCATTTGCAGTTAAATCGTGCACAGCTGCCTGTTGAATCTGGAATGAGCTACACTAACCACAGGCTGGAAGAGAACCCAGACAACCTCATATGCAGCAGACTAAGAGCAAGGAAATTAATAAACACCACGGACAAGCTGCTGCTTACACAAAGAAATGACCAAGTAACCAGATTCAGATGATTTCCAGAAGCAACTGAGGGAGAAGAAAAGAACACTGGAGATCATATAAATTCCTACAGATATTTTTGGGAAGCATGATCTGCAGCACCACAAGAATCAAAGAGCATCTACCACCAACCTGACGCTGGCTGGTTCCTGGCACTCTGGAAACAACCAGCCTTTCTATGTTTGGCAATGGGACTATCACTTAAGAAAGTTATTTATAGAAGAATAATTCAGTCCTGGTTCCCTAACTGAATAGTTCCCAAACCCTAACTCTGATTACTTTATTATAACAACGATTGCATCTCTTGATTTTCCTATTTATTAAATACCTGCTGCTTCTGGTAGCTCAGACTAGAACAGCAATGCAGCTGGAGCTGCTGGAACACTGAGTGGAGGGATGGACATGTCAACACCCTTCCCAAAGCAGGGCCAGCTAAGATTGCTCAGGGCCTTGTCCAGTACAGTTCTGAAGACCTCCAAGGCTGGAGGTTTCTTCTCAGTGTCTCTGGGTTCTGTTCCAGTGTGTGACCACCCTCATGGTGAGGAAAATTTTCCAAATGTTTAAATGGAATTTCCAGTGTTGCAACTTGTATCTGTGGTCTCTCGCCCAACAACTGTGCACCTCTGAGAGGAATCTGTCTCCATCTTTGTGCTCTCCACTGGGAAGACAACATCCTCCTCGGCTTTGTCTTTGTTGGCCTTTTCTTCAAGAAATACAGTTCTTTTGGGCTCTCCACTTACACTGTGTGCTCCCTGACCACCTTGGTGGCCTTCAGTGGGCTGTTACAGGGTGACCAGCCTTTCTGGGCTTTGTTCATATTTCTTCCACCTTCAAATGTGCTTCCTCTGTATTCCTGCTACCCCTGTCCATGCCTGGCATTAGGTGTAAGATTCACACAGAGTAGACAATCAGGGACTTCTGAAAGGAATTTTTGGAGCTGGGTACTCTATTCCCATCCCACAAAAATGGAGCCTAATTAAGGCTCTTTGGGAATCCCAGGCACACAGTCCAACGGGGTTTTCTCCATCCAGGAACCCAGGATCCTGGAACACACAAGGCAAAAACCACACAGATGGGCAGACAAAGCTTATAAAGTGCCAGAACTGCAATATTGACTGTTGGGTGCTTTTTATCACATGCCTCAGGCTCTCTCCTGTGTGCTGACAACCTCTCATTTTTCAGGTAAAAGCAAAGGTTTTTATTCCATCACTGTTGTTCTTTTCAGTGCCTGATCTCTATACCCTGGGCTGAGCTGGAGTGAATTGTTGGGGGTGTTTTTTCAATCCTGTCAAGATCAAATGCACATATGCTTAGAGAGCAACTAGATGATGCTCTAATAGATTTGTATTGCTGGTATTAAGAATCCAACTTGACAGTTTTGACCTCTTCACTTTCAGGGTTTAAAATAATTTGCAGAAACTATGTGAGAAAACTATCTCCCTCTGATGTAGTCCCAATTTTAGAAGAGTCAAGATCTTTCTCTCTGTAGGCACACCATCCTTAGGAAGACAGGAAATGGTTCAGGTGAAAACATAACTGTTCCTATTTTTGTCCCACCCCCAATTACTCACTCTTCTTAGGTCTCCTAAGTGAATTAAAAAGCTCACAGAGCTTTGCAGTGCATACTGTGGAAAAGAGTTTGTTAACAAAGTCCTGAAAACTAATAGGGTGGAAAAAATTATAACTGCTAAGAAACTTTAGTAAAAACTGCTACTGTGTCTTAGGGATCACAGACTCCTTACTCAAGCTGGCACATTCAATTATGCATTAGTTCCCTGCACAGAGAGGTACCTGTGCTGTCAGCTTTGACAGAATGAACAACTCTGTTGAGATCAACGAATGTTCTTTAAGAAAGAAAAGCTGCTACAGTAGTTCCTGGAACACGCAGCTCAAATCCTGGGTCACAGACTTGGCCTGGTGCTCACACGGCACACTGCATGTCACGTCTCCCTGCCGTGTTGCCCCTCTCACCTTCCAGCCTGTGTGGCCACGTGGGCTTCTGGACGAGCCAGAGCAGAGAAGTGGTGGCTGCCTGAACCCTTTCCACCTTGCCAGTTCAGGGAGCCGGGTCCATCTGCCCTGCAAAGTGTCATTGCAAAGGTCCTTGCTGGCCACCACGTGCTGGGCATCACCAAGGCCCTTGGCATTCTGCATATTGGTTCTCCTGCTAGGGCAAAATGCTCCACTGGGATAACATTTGTATCCTGGCAGGGCACAAGAACCAACACCTCCTGCAAAACATGACTCAGCCCCAGCTGACCTGAACTGTGGATACCAGGGATCTGCTTCCCAATGGTGAAGAGGTGGCCTCAGTCCCCAGAGCCATCGCCTGAGTCCTCCTAGGGACAGCCACAGTTGCTCCACGGGCATCCCTAAGACAGATGGTGCTCAGAGCAGTGCCCAGACACAGAGCTCAGGTATGCAGGGTGAAAGAGCTCACTGCTGGGTGCACACTAAGGCACATCTAGCTGCCACCTCTCCCTCGGCTGCATGGGGACACACAGAGCCTGTCACAGCTTCTCCCCAGAGGTTAGGGATGAACCAGCTGGACAAAAACATACTCAAACCTGTCCCTGAGTTTTTCTAAACGCCAGCTTTTTAGTTGATTCAGAGAAACGTGCAGGAAAATTAATGAAATGCTATTTAACAAAGCAATTTTTCGCTCGCTCTCCAATCCAAGTGGCAGCTGCATGTGTAGCCTCACGCCAGGGAGGATGCTCAATAACGCACACCCTCCTGTGGCAGCACCTGAACACTGCAGAGATCACACCAGACAACCAGCCCCACAACACAAACCCCTCTTGCCGTGGTGGTGGGATGGCACACACTCATGCACACGGGGCACAGAAGGGATGGAGAGTGGAAAGCATTAACCCCCTTACACCGAGAGCCGCTTACACCAAAACACAAGGAAATGCAGTACATGTGAGAGGAGAGATTTCCTAAAATAAGAAAAGACAACTGTGATCAAACCTCCATTTTTTTCTATAGAAATCCACCCTGAAGAGCTCTGTATTTTGTCGTATCTGCCACTTTTTGAAACAGTCCCTCTAAATTATGTTATCTTTACCTCACACAGCCACGTTCCACTTCTCGAGCCCATACGGAGAGCTTACAAATACAGGAGTCTGAGTCTTCCCTCCTTCCCCATAACCTTGCCCTCCTTCTTGCCCCCTCAAAATAAATTTTCTTTTCCAGTTCTCATTTCAGTTCTCATTTCAGCTCCATGTTTTATTCTGCACTGCCATTATGCCTGATTAAGCGTTCTTGAAGCTCCATGTGTTAGAATCAGGCCCTTTCATAATACTGAAGAAGAGAGTTGGAGAGGAAAAAAGAGGTATTAAATCTGTGAATGTTCCTAAATGAGAACTGACGTTTTCAGGTACCCTACATTTTCAGAAGAGGTTTAATGAATACTGAAAGTGATGACAAGTATTTGCTGAGTGTCTGTCGGACAAAAATAGACAAAAATAAAACACCATGCTGGCTGGTACTGCAATTGGAAAGGAGAATCTAGTTTCAGCTTAGTCTGTGCTTCGGTTTAGTTATTATTGAAGGGCTAGCTTTAAACTCTTTCATGCACTTCTATGCTTGCTATGTATAACTCTGCTATATTACTGGATATGAAGCAACTATTTACAACAGCTCTGTGATTTTTAAGGCAAAAAGATGTATTTTCTCTTAATAACACCTAAAAGTTCAGTAATACTTGCTTCTACTGTTAGAAAAAATAAGGCTATGAGCCCTTTCTGGAGTATGTCACCAAGGGAGTAAATCTCCCACCTTGCAGGGGCAGGGCAAAAGGAATAAGGGAGGGAGCTCTAACCAATGAGCTGCAAATGCACGTGATAAATTCACACCGTGCCACGGGACTTTGCATAATCTCTGACTGGGCTTTGATTCCCCTTTCCCAATGGTACAGGATTTGGAGCTCTGTTTCTAGCTCCCTCAAATGTCAGTGAAGAAGCAGGGTCCAACCTCTGGGGCAGGCACTGGGGTTTGGCAGCAGCAGGACTGCAGTTTCAAGTCTTTTGGCAGGCAGGCTGCTAATGCAGCCATGTTCTGGCTGTTTCATGTTTGGGGACATCTGCTCCAGCACAGCCATTGCTTTGTTTCCCTGTTCATGTTTCCTATACAGCAGCATATACAGAGAGCAGTTCATATGCTCCTCTAATATTTCTCATGGAAGTGGTGTGCAGACAGAATTTGTAAAAAAGCTTATTTTTCACCGGGATGGAATTCCAAATAAATGTGATATTAAAACGAACATATTGTGTATTAAAAATTCATCAGCATGAAGCATATGATTCATGGTCGTTTCTGACTTGCCCAAAAATTAATCTGGAGGGAGAGATGCCATCACTACAGCTAGGAAGGTATGGACATCCAAAGGTGCTGCTGAATCTTCAGATGTGGCAGCAAAACTGATTTGAAATGGACAACTGCCATTTCACTGTCAGCATGGAGAACAGCATTGGATCAGTGGGCTGTACAGAGCCCTCTGAAGAATGAGTATTACTTACACAATACTAATTACTTACACAATACCAACACTTCTCAGAGATGCAACACTTGGCCAAAACTTTAGGGAAAAAATTACACCTATAATATTAACTGGAAAACTATTGTAGCTATTTTTGAGACTTCAAAGTCAGGGAAAAAACCTAAAGACAATGGGAAAGATGATTTTTACCTGTAAAGCTGCTGCAGACAATTATTGGAGAAAAAAACCAACCCCATTTTCAATGAGAAAACAGAGACTACAAAATCTTTTTTTGAAGTTTCCTGCTTAGCTACCTGTGTCTGATGCAGAGGTTTTGGACTACAGTATTGCTTGCAGCACTGCAGCCTTTCCTGTAGGAAGGTCCAGCTCCTGCCTCCACTGAAATCCATGGCAGCTCCCTCTGAGTTCAGTGGTGCAGGAAGAAGCTCTAACCTAGAGCTCAGCTTTGCAGTCATGAGGAAACTTCTGCAGCCCTCACAACCACTTCACAAAGAGAGGTTTCCCATATCTGGTACTCATCGTACAGTCCAGGCCTTCTGACACCTCAGAGAGAATTAGAACTGAAAAGTCAGAAATACTTACTTCCACTAGGGATCAGGTCCCTGTCTGGTATGAAGAGCTTATATCCATAGTGCTTTTCTAGAACATCTGGCAGAATTTCAAGTGCAAACTGCTCCTCTTCATTATTATCACAATCTAACGCATCAGGATCCACTTTGGTGTATGAAAGATAAGCATCATATTCCTTGTTGTCTGTAAGAAAACAAATTCATGTTCAGCCTGTTGTTTGCAAGAGCACCAAGAAAATACTAGAAGATCATCTTATTCCTTGAAATTCAAGGGTCAAGGATTTTTCTGCTTTCTCAGCAAAACTGGGACTTTTCAAAGGAAAATATAATCTGGCTTCCACAGAGAAATTTTTCAGATTCCAAGGATATCCTTTCAATTTTCTTCTGCATTTTGAGCCAGATAATAGCTCTGCTTCATGTGGTCAGTGTACACATTTCACATCTGAAAAGATCACGGGCAAAATTTTGATACAAATACTAAAGCTAGAAGTTTTAATTTTGATCCATTATAAAAATAGCAATGTAATTCCATAGTGCTAATGGAAATCTGTCAACTCCTATACCTCAAGAGTGCTATGATTACAAGAAAGTTTTGAGCTTGGAAAAGTTTTTGAGCCTGGAAAGTTTTGAGCAAGAAAAACTTCTTTGCACAAGTAATGGTGAGAAAACACATGACTTAATTCAAATTAAAACCAGTTATGCAGAAAACAATCACAAACAGCCCAAACAATTTTTTTTTCCTTAAAACCTTGGAGTTTTTACGACTAACATCATAATTTTAGAGGTTACTTGATCCAGGACTATTTAACTGCTTGGTGCTTACAGTATGAGAGAAATAAGTCCAAGAGCAAAGGGGGCACAGTGGGAGACTTGCCCTTCCATTCTGCCTGCAGCTCAGGGCTGGAGGCAAAGCCTCATCAAAAGGTGGAGGCAGGCAGTGGGTGACAAGAGAGGACCCAGGCAACATGGGAGTGCAACACAGTGGTTTGGCTAGAAAGGGCAACACACCTCCTCCCCCTCCTCCTGCAGAGCACTGGGGCTTGTCTCCAGCTCTCTGCATCTGAAGCATGGAGCTAAGAGCTGGCAACTGTGCCAAGAACAGAAGTGGCACCACTGTTGAGCTTGGGACCCATGCTGGGATCAGACTGTCTCAGTGATATTTCTCTTTGCTATTCCTCCGCAGTAATGGAAAATAGTCTATTGGAAAAGCCAACCTTCAGCAATTCAGGCTCCAGGGAAGAGCACAGCTGCCATTATTTACAGAAAATGAAAAATCAAATAGTTAATGTTGCGAGGACAAAACTGCATGAATGGAGGATTGCTGAGTACCAATTATCTGTAAAGAATAGCGCACATGAAAGATAATTAAAGCTGTTCTAATCATCAATACATTCTGAGAGAAACAAAAAAAAAAGCTAATGATAATACAATACATTCCTTGATGACCTTGAAATGATGGCTACTTTCTTATAATTCCTGACACAAAGCCAGACCCATGAGGGTCAGAGCACAGAGAAAGCACGTGAATAATTACACATTTGTAAAAAGCAATTTGCCTGGTGTCACCATAGCTGCATGGGAGGATGCCCACCTGGCTTCCTCATATCTCTCTGAAATCAACAGCATACAAAAATAGTACTTACTGATGGAAAGATGACAGAGGAACAAACAGCGAAGAAATAAAGGCCAGTAGCTCTGGAGGCCTGTCCAAAACCTGCCACCCTGTCCATAATGAAGCCTGCCAAAGCCTTTTAAGGGAAGCTGGCCACCATGTGGGAGCTCTGCAAAGGCAGCAAGCCAAGCCCAGGGTGCTGACACTGGTTCTAAGGCAGCGGGAAGGCCATGCAGGGGTTGTGTGCAAGCAGCCCTGAGCTTCCTGCCCCTTCTGCTGCAGGGGTACGACTGCCCTCCCCAGTCACCTCTGGTCACACCACCAGCAAGCAGGACGTAGGCAGAACCAGTTCCCCTGGGCTGCTCTGAGTCCCTAGCCTTGTGTTACTTCTTTACAGTCTTGACTCCTTCTTCACGAGCTTCACATGCACAGGACATGGCAGGAGGACCTACCCATGCTTGCCCACCACTCGCTCTGTGTGCTTTGGATGCAGCACTGTTTGGAGATGTTTCCTAAAATGCTTCCCTTAACCTTCAGTATCATTGTATCTAAAAGCAATGCCATGTACAACACAGAAGTGAATACATCTAGCACTGCTTATACAGGATATCTTTAGGAATAGGAATAAAGCAAATGCATTGAGTTCCAATCTTCTGTTTTAAAGAAATACATGTATATAAATGGAGAGTGATCATGCTGTTGTTTCTATGCAGCTGACTGCTCATGGGAGCTCTGTACGTTCCCACTATAGCCTACAGAAGTAGATAGAAACATCCCCATCTATGCTTTGACTTCAGTGGCATCTGACTCCATCTTTCATTCTGCAGGATCAGAATGAGACACAAAGCTGCCACAGTTCTAAAACAATGTGCTGGAAAAATAAAAGGTTGTTTTCAGAATTAACATGCATGCAAAATCCCCTATGCACTCACGGGACTTCTAAACAACCAGAAAATAATATGGCTTCATCAATTAAAGTGATTGAACCGAGGAAGTTACAGGAATAAAAATGCAGCAGCCTCATGCTGGAAACTTGAGACAAATGAAGCCAAGCAGTCTGGAGGGAATTGCCTCTTTGGGTCAATTTTTGTTGGTATGAACCAGGGATGTGATGTTGATACAATCCCAAGGTGGTAAGAGGTAAATGACTTCCAAACCCACATAATCTCACCCTTTACTTTCTCCTAGGTATCAGTATAAATATTTTGCAGTATTGTATAATATAAAAAAGTGTGATTTTAGGTTTTCCCACTCACACAAGAAGATCCACAAAGAAGAAGTTTCCTGACTTTTATTCCTCCTATTTATCACTCCACATTCTAAAATGCCCTAGAGGTGATTCCACCCATCCTCCAAGACCCTGAAAGATTTCATTGTAGCTAAACATTTTCACACCACATCTGCCCCGTGCTAAACAGAAACATTTATTATTCTGATAACAGTAATGCTAACTGCAGAAAGCAACAGTCTGTGCAACTGCACCTTGTTTTGGCACCACAGGGGAAATGTGTTTCCTGCTCTTTTTTTTCAAATACATTATTATTTATAGATACACCATTCCAGACTGCCTACATGGCTCCTAAGTGCTGCAGTGGGCTATGAAAATATCTGTACTTGAATACTGTACTTCAGATCTTTAGCAAATAGTAGTTACATGCATATTAGTAACATATTAATTATGCTATAATGGAAGTGTTAAGAATATAATAACAGGATTTAAAGCACGTGGATTTAGTTTACCAGGGCTTACTCCAGCTCCATAGGAGCAGGAGTGTTTTATATTCAGGAGAATTAAAGCTTCAATTTAAAAATACATTTTTAGCTTCAGGCACTAAACAGAATATATGCTAGTGAGAGGGAAGAGGGAGAGGAACACTGAAAACCAGCCTTGTTTATTCCTAAACACACCCTCCAGCCTAGCTGCACATTTCCATCAAGTTGTTTACAGTCTCCCAATTAATTGAGGTAACCCGTTAGTCTCAATAACAATTGTGTCTCATTAGTTACTGGAGTTAGTTGGTGGCCTGAAGACAATTCAGTGGAAATGGCTAATGATCAATACCTGGCTAAAGGGCTGCCCACATACAGTATGGATCTCAGAAGAAGTGAGCCTGTGTATATGTGGCACTGGGAGACATGAACATGGAGAGTTCTTCTGAGGAATTAGTTCACAAATGACATCCAAGCGTCAGTAACAGACTCATGAACTATTCTTCTGACTCCCATTTGCTCATGGTATGGCCCAGTGACATTTCAGTGAAAAGACTCATTGATTTCAGGGGGTCTGGGGAGAAAGCCTTAGGGCTTCGTGCTATTGGGTGCTTAGTAGTTTAAACTTAAACTGGCAACAGGTATCTTTTGGGATTAATTTCAGTCTAGATGTTTCATCACTTCGGGTCTCTGAAATATTTCCATTGCATATATCGAGTTTCCTGAACAACTGCTTACCATCAGCTGCTTCATCTCCTCCAAAGTTCTGTCTGTAGAACAGCATTAACTCTATGTTGTAGCACTTATAGATGGTCACAAGCAAAATAAGCAGAAGAAGGATGGCTCCCAGTCCTCCAGCAAGCTCTATTTTGTAGATCAAATCTAAAATTGGCAAGGAAAGACAAAAAGGTTATGATCTTTCCAAGATTTATTTGCTTTAATCCACTGTACGATTCCACATAAAATTGTGCAGCTTCCAATTACAACCACTGTAACATTAAGGATGCCTGATTCTTTTTGTGCATTACTTATTGCTTAACTTTACACATTTACTCCATTCACTGCCCATCTGAAATCACCATCCAAAATACACTCGAAGCTATAATCATAATTTTTGTACAAGGGGTTTATGTAATGAATTTACACAGAGGATTAATCAACTTTTAATGAGCTTGTGGAGTTTGAAACTTCTGTATTGGCAGAGTGCATCAAATGCTGTGTGCAGCATGTGAGAGCAGATATACTAAACATATTGTGCCACATTTGGGAGGCTGTAGTTTCTGCCCCCCCCCCCAAATTATTAAACTTTGGTTTTATATTTGTGAAGCCAGTGGATGAGCTGATGTGAGCTGCCAAGTCAGGACTTCAGCTGAATCACTGGAGAATGAATTGAGCATCCAGAATGCCCAAGAGAACGTGAGAAGCCAGCAGCAGACATGAGGCTGCTAAGAGCCACTTTGTCTGAGTCGTGATGGCTACTAACAGAGTTCTCACATGTTTGTTTAGCTCATATTATACTTTCATGGGAACTAGTGGTAGTTAAAATTTCCTACTGGGATGCTTTTGTTAGGAAACATCACAAGCATTCTGCCTCAGAGAACTTCACATATTCATCCAAATGCAATTATCCATCTTTTACAGCTGGAGAAGCAGAGGCATCAAAAAGTGAAGCAGCATGTTCAAGGTCATTGAGCAAACCAACGTCAGAATGGGGTGAAAACCCCTGAATAACAGCCCAGGGCTCTGCCTGATGTAAGATGCTAACTTTAACAGTATTGCTCTTCAGGTTGAAAAGTTCTCTCAACACAACATTGCTCAGAACATCACCTGGCATATGTCTTAGCCATAAAAGACAAAAGATGACAATTTGACAATATTTACCACAAACAGCCTATATTAGTTTAGATAAGATGTCATGAAGGTATTTGCTGCTGTGATAGAAACAACATGAAGATGTAAAAACTGTAATACAGGCAAGACAAAGTTTTCTGTGATCTTTACGCTTCTAAAACTTAGGTCAGAAGAAATTACTGGTATGTCATTTGTGTCATTTTCAAGATAAAAAGTAAATTAGTTGTGTATCTTTTGGGGTTATTCTTGCCTCGCCATGCCTTGTATTGCAATAATTAACATCAGATGTCAAGCTGTTCCCAGTTTACAGTATCTCTGATGTCTGTCTGCTAAGAAACCATGGACTAATAGATGGAAAAAGCCTATTATAATAGCTACTTAATCTCTCTGAGAACACAGGGAATTCATGGGACTTTTATTACACTGCACAATAGAGCTACCATGTGCTCTGGGGATAAATCTGGTCAAATGGAGAATAGAGTTGATTAAAATAACTTTTCAAGGAAAAAAACTTTTTTTTTTTCTGTTGTACTCAATCCTTTTTTGCTAGGCAAGTGAGATGATGGCAAATCTGCCAGCTTGGAAGGAGAGAAAATGCTGAGCCTTGATCAACTGCAGCCCACAGAGGAGCACAGACTTGTGTCCACTTGCTGATGGATGAGCAGGGCATTGAACAAAACCACAAAATCCAGCCCAAAAGGCAGAATTGACCTGCTTTTGCACATCCTGAATTTTCAGTCCTTTTGACCCATAAGCGCTCCTAGAGTCTTGGACTCCTTATTTTCATTCCAAGGTGGAGGCAATGGAGAAAACCCCAGAACGTTCCATATTCTTGCCTACTCCAGCTCTTACTCTCTGTAAATTAGTAAATAATAATATTCTGATAGTTTCTAATGTAAAATGTAGAAGGACTTAGTCACAACGTACCAGAGAGGCTTAGGGTTTTTAAAATACTGAAAGTCTCATAAATACCCAACAAATGAGAGACAAATATATTTTAGAAGGTTCCTCATCATTTAGTACTGTATCAATATCAAATACCACCCCTCCTCCAATTAATATTCTCCATGTCTTCAATAAAGGCAACCTCCTCAAAATAACTGGTGAGCAAACATCATTCTAGGATTTACTTTTATCTAAATTCACTGCTTCTCTCCACTAAAAGCACAGCTTGATTTTATTCTACAGTTCCTGACAAGTTATTCATGTTCCAGGACAGTTATATTACAGACTATGCAGACTTCAATCACTAAAATACTGGACTACTTTGCAGTTCCTTTGAAGGGAATCCTGAACCATTTCCACAACTAAGGGACAAGTGGGTGTGTTTCCATGTCATATGAGCACCAAACTTGCTAGGACAGCAGGGAAAAGAAAAAAAAAAAAGAAAAGAAAAGCAAACCCAGGATTGTCCAGAACTTATTTTTGAACTACTCAAAAGCCAATAACAATGTGGTCTTCCAGTGCCTAACCACTCCTTAGTAAAGAATTCTTCCTAATATCCTATTGAAACCTCCCCTGGTGCAACTTGAGGCCATTTCCTCTGGTCCTACCATTAGGAATTTGGGAGAAGCGACCAACACCAGCCTCACTACAATCTCCTTTTAGGTACTTGTAAAGAGCAATAAGGTGTCCTCTCAGTCATCTCAGAGTTATGCCTGATTCTATCTTTGCATTGGGAGCAATTTCTTCCTTAAAGCAACGTATGTGCTTATAAATAACTACCTGATGTCAAAACAAGAATTAACTCTGGAAACTCTTAAACTACAGCTATAACTTGGATTTGGGACCTACTCCCATTTTTTTTATTCAAGCCTTCCTAGTTTTGCAGGATTCATGATTTATGCTAGTTTGTGTACCCCTGATGGACAGCAGTCACGGGTGTAACCTACAACACTGTGAGAACCTGGAGACAAAACGGAGCTACAAGAACCTCTCCCTGTACAGGGAAAACACAGCCCTTAGCAGGTCAGACTTTGGAAGGAGGGGGATTTCTCTGGCTGAGAGAATCAGCTCATAAATAGGCAGATCTAAGCTGGAGAAAGTTAGGATAAGAAGCAATTATATCAAGTTGTAGAAAGGAAAAGTTTGGTCAAGTACTTATAAGAACTTAATGAATAACAAACAGGACAATGGGACAGGCAGTCAAAGGACAGGGTGAAAACACTGAGGTTATTTTAAATGACACTTTAATAGCCTGAAAGTCAACTACTGAGAATGCCTGAGGGGAATATAAGCTTTCTACAGCCACAATACAGGCAGAAATGAAATAGTAGCTGAGAAGTGATCCTTTCCACCTCCAAATTCTGTATTCAGCAGCGATTCTTCCATTATTTCAGCAGAGCTCTGAAATACCTGCGTTTTCTTGTAATAAATGAACCTAGCTTGTTATTCTAATGTATGCAACACAGCTGAACATTTAACACTGTCAACATAGATGTACTTGCTGTTGGTTGTATATTTATGAGGTTCAGTGGATGGGAAGGTAGAATGCTTTTTGCACTAAAGAGGCTAATCCTTCATCATGATGACCTGATTCCTTCATTAAAGTTGTGACATCCTGTCAGTGTAGATGTTGAATGCACATTCACGCGTTCCACACCACAACCGTGGGTCCTTGTTTCTCAGAGTGGTTTGCATCTTCTGTGCCGTGTTTCTGTGCTGTGATTTAGTGCAAAGTGTAACCTATGTTATGCCCTTCTTTTAGGGGGGACAGGAAACTCTGACATACAGAGGAAACTCTGTAAGTAGGACTTGATTCAACCGATTTTGACAGGACTGCATATTGTACTTTCACTTATATAACCTGTGGGTCACATGAAAGAATAGCAAAAAAACAGATTGACCCAAAAGTTTCCCCTCTATAGTAGCCCTTTTTTTTCCCCCAATACCACCCCTTCCTTGCCTTTCATTTTATACAGATTATAGCCATGAAACACAGCACTTAGCATCCAGCATGCCCTTAGGTGAACGGATGACCATGGGTGTTTTCCAGAACAGTGGTGCCCTATCTAGAGAGGCCTTGGCTGCTCTTCCTGTTCTTCCACCTGGCTCTGAGTTCATTTGTCCCACGGTGCTGTCTACCCTGGGCTCAGTGGTCAATCTGCAGCGTGTTTAAGGTACTAACAGTATCTTTAAACCTTCTCCCAGCAGTGACACTTTTGTGGGATTTTGCTGTAACTGTGACTTTTTTAACCGCCACTAACACTGTGATCCACAATCTGCTGAGGAACACGCCCTCTGCCTTACTGGTCTGAAGGGACACGAAGGGCTGGAACAGCACGTGCAGGTGTGCCCTGTAAAATAATTTTTTTTCTTCTCCTACCTGGTAACTTATTTTACAGCCAAGAATAACGGCAGAGATCTGGACACTGTATTAACTCGTTACTCAATGTCCTGTGCTGATAGCTCTGTGGTTTCATGTTGTGTCTTTATGCTGAGTGTATAACCTTCCATTGCTGTCCCAACAGTTACAGTGTTACAGCTTTTGCACCACCTCATACACCGTATCTTAGAGAGATCACCATCAAATAAACGTCACCCTAGGAGAGGTGATTGAACAAACAACCTAAGAACTGTAATGAGATACGGTTACAGTCCTTATGACAATGACTTCTACAAACAGCAGAGCACAGTAGGACCTTCTAAGCTGGAACATTCAAACCCAAGTAGTTTTCCTTCTGCTACAGATAACTTATGTGTGGTGGTATTCTCTATTCCTGGTACAGCACCGAGACAAAGCAACCATAGTGGGGTAATTCTCCATTGATTTGTAGCTCCCATGGAAATGTTTTCATTCCCAACACAGTCAGAAATCAAAATGCACAGCAACTGTTTAAAGCTTTCAAATGAAACAGCAAAGCCAGGAACTGGAGAAATACAAGAACATCTGACCTTCCTGCTGGGGTATCTGTTTTAAGAAACGCACATTTTACTCCCTTACACAATTACCTCTGGTCTAGTCAGTCAACTCTGGGCCAAGTTAATAGGCTTTTCCAAGCAAACTACTTCCACTAACGATATTGGTGCTTACTGTGGGACTGTATTCCAGGCAAGAGCATCACCTGCAAGGCTGGTTCACTAGAGACCGGAGAACAAATTCATGAACTTATTTCACAAATGGTCAACCAAAGCTATAACACAAACACACTTCAGTTCCAAACAGGCACACAGGAATCCAGCCTGGCTCAGAGAGGTCAGCAGGACCTTCCCTGCTGGCTGAGCTGCTGCTGCTGGGGCAGGCGAGGGCCGAGGTAAGGAGGTGCTGGGACCTACCTTTCCTGCGCAGGAGAACGCTGGCGTGCTTCCGCCCGTTCCTGTTCTCCACGTGACACGTATAGTTTGCCAAGTCTGCCTCCTCCACGGCATCAAAGATCAATGTCAACTCAACTTCTTTTTCTCCAAGATGTTCTCTGAGGAGTCTGAAAGGAAGCATACCGCCTTCGCTTAGCTGAATTAATACAGGTGGAAGATTCCCCAAAGAACCATGATTGCATTCCTGGCCTCCTCCACTCCTGAAGAACTTGGAAGGAGACTGAAGTTGCCCGAAAGACTGCACAGAGGCACCTTTCATGACACCCAAAAGCCTTTATTCTGTAGCGAGGAGCTGAATCAAGTGCAAGAAGAGTGACTACGAGTGCAGTGGTAGAATGTGGCTTGTTTACCTCGGCTCTGCCAGAATTAAATGCTAAAAACAATGTTTCTTTTAAAGGAAGCAATAAATACTGACTAACTTTCCAGAGAAGTAAATATGTACTACTAAGCCATGGCTGAGCAAATTATAAGGCAATATTTTAAACTCTGGGCACTGTGATACATTTTAATGCAGTCTGGAAAACCAATGAAAGGAGCTGTGCTACTCTGTGGAATTTTCCTCTATTTTCTGGGGCTAGATCCTAACTTTAGAAGAAAACAGTGACAAGAACAAGAGCTCTCTGCTCCTTCGAGAGGGCAGAGGACACATGCAAAATCCCCACAAAGGGAACAGAAAATTCTAGCAGACTTTCAGGTCAGAGGTAGAGTCTTTTCATGTCATTGTTCTAATGCGAACATTAAAAAGAATGCAAAATAAATGCAAGTGTTTTCTGATGCTGACATGAAGTCTAAAAATACAATGCCCTATTCTCTCAAAAGGCTTCTTATCAGTTGCTAAGGAAAAAGGTACTGCTCCTTTCAACAAGAAAATGTAATGTCAAGTAAAATCTACTTGATTAATTTGGTCCTGTTAGTGTACTGCTGCATGACGTGTCCAGGGGTAAACATGACATGTGTGATGCCCTCCCAGTGGCCTGTGAGCTCACCACTGCACACAGCACCTCAGTGTTTCTTCCCCCTGAAAAGATCATGTGTGGCACTAAGAGGTAAGGGAATGAAAAAGATCCACGTTCACCAAAAAAGAAACTTTCTCCAGAGACTGAAGGGAAACAACTGGGCCCAAAGTAATTAACCAGAGCGCTGTTTGTGCTGGGTGGAAACTGCTTCTGGAGGGCTTCAAATGTTTCAATAACAACAAACTCCAAGCTTCTCTATTATAAACAGAAGTTGTTTGGGGGTTTCCAATGCACACATGCATTTTCTTATGTACATAATTTCATATAACAAACATGGAACTCCAAATTTGAAAAGAAATCAAAAGTAAGTCTGAGGGCATTGCACTAGACAATCAAAAACACAAACCTGGCTGCTATAAACCACATATTTACAGTAAGATTTCATACAGCATGCAGCTTTTAAAGGCTTGTGTGACCTGACAAAATTCAGAGGAGGTATCGGAGCATCCGCAGCAATTCAGCCTCTTTCACTACGGCTGTGTAACTTGCAAAAAAGCAAGTAGAAGGACATTAGTTTAACAGCAGACATGTGTGTTGCATTTGGAGACTTATATTCCATCTTTCTTGCAAATTCACTGTTGCTTATTGTCTATTTTTGCCTTTTTTTTTTTTTTTTAATTCCTGGATCCAAGTGCTGAAAACAATGCAAGAAAGGTTGAATCTGTATCATTTTTGGCAGAAAAGAGACCTCCCAAGAAAGCCTGATCTCTGTTTGCAGGTTCAGACTAAATCATTTAGGGTCAGATAAATCAATTCTCATTTACCTGGTAATATTCCATAAATATATATATATATGTATATATAT